ATGCAGAGCCGGCGCGTGCGTCGCCCGCCCCGGCCGGGGTGGTGTCCGCCGGCCATGCCCCGAAAATGGTGAGCATGGCTTTGCAGAGCGTCTCCTCGCGCGTGAGGGCGCCCCGCAGCCAGGCGGCCGCGGCGCGAAGCGCGGCCGCGCGGGCGGCCGCGGGGGCGTCATGGCCTGGCATGTCGAACATCGCGGGGTCCACTTTGCACACGTCATCGGCAGACCGTGCAGAGTTTATCACATGCTGGCGACCTACTCGGGAAACGCAGCCGCTGCCGGGCACCCCGCAGCTTTCCTCATCCCTCCAGCCGCCACCAGCGCCGCCGCCGCCGCCCGCCTCGCCGGGCACGCCGCGCAGCGGGTGGCACCGCACCCACAGCTTAAACGCCTCGGCCATCTGGTGCGCCTGCTGGTAGAAGCCGCGCAGGGGGTGCTGCGACTGCCACTCGCTGAACAAGTAGACCCTCTGCATGTGTGATGCGTGCCCCGCGTCTTCAAGCAGCTCGACCAGCTCAAACAGGCCCAAATCCGTGTCGCGGTCCCCGTCTTCAGAGCCGCGGCAGCCGCTTGCACCGCCGCCGAGCCCGCCGTCGCGCCCCGGCGCGGGGCCGCCGGCCCCGCACGGCTGCCGCGCCGCCCAGAGCAGTAGTGACTTGGCGAGCACCCACAGGCGCACCGCCGGCAGCAGCGGCTCTGACAGCTCCACCACGCGCCGGCTGCCGGCCAGGGCCAGGCCGGGGCCCCAGCCGCCAGGGGTGAAGTCGAGCAAAAACGGCAGGAGCGCCAGGGCCTGCGGCGGCAGCCAGCCGCTGTCGACCGCCCACAGCACGCTGTTTAACGGCCACTCGCGCCACTCCCCGGCGCGCAGCAGCCGGCCGGCGCAGCGGACGGGCGGCGAGGGGCGTGGAGGAGCGTCCCGGAGGACAGGCCCGCGGGCAGAGCAGTCAGGGTCGGGCAACGTGCGCCAATCAACGCAGCAGCGGCCTGCGAGCGCCAGCAGGGTCTCAGCGCGGCCCGTGTGGCCGGTCGCGAGCGCCGCAAACACGCACTCCAGCAGCTGCGCCGCGGAGAGCAGCGGCCGCTGGCGCCGCACGCGCGGCAGCGGCGCGCATGGCGCTGCGTCGCCGCCGGCGTGCTTCCACTCTCGCAGGGCCGCCTTCAACTCGGCGAGCTCCGCCCGCGCGGCGGCTTCCGCTATGCCCCAGCAGGCGGCGTCCGCACGCGCATCGGCGGCCGCCACGCCGCCCTCTGCCTCGGTCCCCTCCAGCCCCAGCGCCAGCAGGTGCGCACTCAGAGCCTCAGTCCGCCGTGTAGCGCCGCCGGGCCACTCATCCCTCTCGGCGGTCGTGTAGACCCGGACGGCCTGCAGCTGCAGCGCCCCTTTGACGATGGAGGCCAGCCGCGCCGCACCCGCACGCTGGTGGGGCGCGCGCCTTCGCCGCCGCCGCCGGCTGGCTGCCGCCCTGGCAGCTGCGGAGCGTCTGGCTGCTGCTGGTGCAGCTGGTGCTGCTGGTCCTGCTCCTCCGCCTTCCGCTGCTGCTCCTGTCCTGCAGCACGTCGCCCCCGCCGCTGCTCCGCCCGCTGCCTCTGCTCCAACACCAACTCCTCCACAAGCCCCACCACGCGCTCAAAGTACACGTCAGGAGGCGGCGCAAGCTTCGCCCGCTCAGCATCGCGCCGCCTCGCGCGGGCGCCCTCGATACCCGGCCCAAGCGGCGGCGGGTCCGCCAGGGGCCCTGCCACGGCCGCGTACAGCAGCCGCCACAGCGCGCCCAGCGGGGCCACGCGCTCGCCCAGCGCGCGCAGCACGCCCTTGCTGGCGCCGCCGGAGGCGCTCGCCGCTTTCAGCGCCTCGGACCAGAAGCCCGGCGCGTCGAGCTGTGATGCTTCTAGCCAGTTGAATGCGCCCGACCAGGAATACCTGGCCCAATGTACGGGGTGCGGGTTGACCAGCCGCAGCACCGCCTGCAGCACTTCCTCCGCGTGCGGGTCGCGGCGTCCTGCCGCCCACGCCACGTGGTGGCGGCCGGGCTCGCAGCCCTGGGCCTGGGGGAGGTGGGGCAGCGCACAGCGGGATGAGAGGGTGAGTGTGGGGCAATGAAGATGGCCGTGTCAGCAATGAAGATGGCCGTGAGGAGCGGGTTACTTCATGACGCGATGCAGTACACAAGACCCGTGGCGCCCGCGCTGTTTGCAAGATGCCCCGGCATCCAGAATAGTGTGCTGTGGCAGCAGAGCAACCGGTGGACACACGATGCACGTCACCCAGGTGACATCCGGGTGACGCGCACTCACCACGATGAGGACCTGGTCTAGGCAGTCCGGGTGCCCCTGCATCACGGCGTGCTGCAGAAGCGCGCGCTTCTCGCGGCTGCAGCTCTCCAGCCAGGCGAGGAGGTGAGGCAACATGCGTGTGTGACCCTTGACAACAGCCTGCTTGGCTGCGGTCGCCGCGACTGCGGGGGCATCCAGGGCGTGTGCAGAGCAAGTGTGTCTGTGTGTGTGTGTGTGCGTGCGCGCGCGCGTGTGTGTGTGTGTGTGCGCGCGTGCGTGTGTGCGCACGTGCGTGTGTGTGTGTGTGTGCGTGTGTGAGTGTGTTTGTGTGTGTGTGTGTGTGTGTGTGTGTGTGTGTGTGTGTGTGTGTGTGCGCGTGTGCGAGTGTGTGTGCGTG